AGCTACCCATTATTTAACAGAAACCCTAGCAGAATATAATAAAAAGTGGCCAGAGGGAAACTTCAAAGTTTTTTGAAATGGAAGCCTTGACAGCTGCTATTTGATATTGTGAATAAAATGTCTAGTAGAGAGGTCTGTAGTGACACCAAGCAGGAAATCCAGAGCCTCTGACAGGACAGTGTCCTCTCCTGCACTGTTAGCCCAGTGTCCCTTGAAGATGTCTCTTCCTTCCCTTGGGGGCTCAGGGAAAAATGGCCTACTGTGATGAGAATGTGGCTGTCAGGGAAATGAGTCCTTTTAGAATCACATAGTGAGAGAGCTAACTTGAATTTAACATGGACTGTCGTTGTTTGTGTCCTTTCTATAAATGATACTTCTTTCAAGTTATTATATTTTGCATGGGGAATGATTAATTCTTAAAAAACATTTATAAATTTTCCCTTCCCACACAGCCATCATTACTAGTTTTGAACCAATGCAGTTACCTTTGCAATACCTAACCCATGTTCATACATATAGGCCAGATTGAACATGGCTTGTGCGTTGTGATATTTTTCGGCTGCAATGCTGTAGTGTGTGGCTGCTGTTTGATAGTCTTTCTTAGTCCCATAGCCATAGTAATAGTAATCTCCAATTTTTACTCTAGCAAATACATTTCCTGGTAGAAATATTAGGAAGAAAAGAAAAATCACAAGTCCAGTGATTCCATGTGTAATTTCCAGTAAATTGACCAAATAATCCTTAAATATATACACATATATAAATCACATACAAATTACATGGTGTAAAATATATACAATTCTCACTCAGAATATTAGAATCAGGATTAGATATACTTTACAGAATAATGACAATCAATGCTAGTTGTCTTCATTGTACAATAACATTTACAGTATAATATAAATGTTCTTAAAGAATGAATAATTTTACCCTTTAAATTCATTATTTGAAGGTAAGTAAACTCTTGAAGGTAAGTAAAAGGATGGGAAGCTGAATCCCACCCTTTCATTCTCAGATTTCCTTCCTTCTTTGTTTTTTCTTCCTTCCTTCCTTCCTTCCTTTTTTCTTCTTTCTTTCTTTTTTCTGTGCTGGGACAGAACCCAGGCACTCATACACACTAGGCAAATGCTGTGCAACTGAACTACAGCCCTTCAGACTTTATTCTTGAAGCTCTACTCTCCTGCACCATGACTTTGTCTCTCTGTTCCAGATTAGCCTCATCAGTCATTCACATAGGCTCTGGTATTGTCTACGAACAAAAACAAGCCCTCTTTTTATCCCATGGTGTCTCCTTCTAGCTACTACCCAATTTCTGTGTTCTCCTGTACATTCAGCATTTTCGAAAGTATGCTTTACACTCACTGTCTCTAGAGCTTCCCCTCCCAGGTACTCATCAATGCACTTTAATCTGGGTGTGGCCTTTCCCCCATGAAAATGCTATTTTAAGGTAGTTGATTAGTTTTGGGCAAACAAGTCTACTGGTCACATCTTTGTCCTCATTTTACAAAACCTCCAGGCAGCACAGGTGTTTCTGGACCCATCTGCTCAAGCATTTTCCTTTCTTGCCATGTACAGCATGAGCTTCTCTTGATTTCCCTTTCCCTCACAGACCTCTCCTTTTTGAACTCTTTTTGCCTGACTCCTTCTCTGCTCAATTTTTAATATTGGTTTGCCAAGGGCTTATTCCTAACTCATTTTTTCCTCTTTCTCTTCTCTCCCGTCCCACTCTCCTTTATCTCAGTACCTGTAGGTGACCTTATCTAGTCCTGTGACTTTCTCTATATAAACTATTGTTTAATTTATATCTATAGTCATATCTTGCCCAGTCTTTCATAATTGCTTTCTTGATTGCTTAGATCTCAAGCTTAAAATGTCCAATTGAGATTTTCTAACACCTTATACTCCCTCCTCCAAATAAAGTCATTAGTTTCTTTCTTATCTTAGTAATAGCACCACCACTGTTTAGACTATAAGTCTAGGGAAATTATTTGTAGTTTTTCTTTTTCTCTCACCTCAATCACCCAATTCATCAGCAAATCCCTGTTGATTCTACCTCTAAAGCACAACTCTCTCTTGACATCTCCTCCTTCATCTAGGTTCAAGTCTAGGTTACTACAATAGCCTTCAAAATATTCTTCTACCCTGATTTTGATTTCATTCTCCACACAATAGCCAGGATAATCTTTGTAAAATTTGAAATAAAATGATGTTATTTCCCTGTTTAACCCCCGCATGGCTTCACATTGCACATGGAATAATATCCAGCTCTTTATCTGACCTATGAGTCCTGCCTAACCACCTCCTCTGCCTCCCTGACTAAGTTCATTGCATCACTTTCTCTGCTCTAGATCTCTGGCCTTCTTAATACTCCTTTAACACACCAAACTATTCCTGCCTCTGGATCCCTGCATTCATATCCCTCAAGACCCTCTGGCTGGTATATTTGGAACTCCTCTAATTCTTCCTGTGGCTGTTTTCTCATCATTCTTTTCTCAGAGGCACAAATGCCACTTCTCCACTAGAGGCTCTCGCGGACTACCTTGTTTGTTCCATCCCCTGTTCGCCATCATTTCTAGTTATCTATCTTCTTGCCATGTTTTATTTCTTTCACAGCACACATCACTGTTATTTTCCTTATTTACTAGTTTATTTTCTCTCTGCCTTATGAAGGGATTGACTCCATGCGGGCAAGAACAATAAAGCTCTTACTTCCTAATATTGTCCCAGAACCTAGAATGGTACTTAATAAATACTTATGGATGAATGGATAGGCACAGTGGGAAACTTTTTAAGAAAATTCTTTCCCCAGAGGTTAATTTCAAATAGTCCTTTGTAATAAACATGGATATGTCAAGGATAAAAACATGACTTTTTAAGATATGTGACATCAGTCTTTTGAAGGCCACTTAGGGATGGAGTCCTAAGGGGCTCCATCTTTCTATTCACTTAAAAATTTGATCAAAAAGATGAAGGCAGAGTCATCTGGGACATTCATGTCAGCTGTGGCCAACACTTGATGTAGTCTAGGCTTACTTAGAAAAAAGGGAAGTAGTCTGTTGGTATGGGCTGATGTATATCATTAAGTGATATAGGACTCCTTCCAAAATTCTTTCCAAATTTGCCCTAGTGCGGTGTCTAAATCCTTTGGAACAGAATCTTTTTCTTAATAAAGTTCCTTTAATCTTTTAGAATCTCCTATAAAAACAGATATCTTTAAGAGATGTAATACCAAAAATCACATAGTTTTCTCTGAATAGAGCTAATAGCATGAAATTCTTAAGCTGCAATGATATTAGTTATCAGGGTTTGGTTCAAAATGCATAGGTAACTGAGAACAAAAGCCTTAGAGGAATGGTACCCAGGAGAGGGGCTTGGAGAGGCCTGGAGAGACCCATGGAGCCCAATCCATCTACAACTTTGTCCCAAAGCTACCTTCCTGTCTGGGCCAGAACTACAGTGAACCACAGGACACTTCTGAACTCATTCAAGTGTTACAAGCTATAGGCAGGATCCCTAAAGTCTCTGAGAATGGAAGGCAGTGAACAAGATGGATTCAGAGCATTCACCCCAATGAGAAGAACTGACAGGGAACATGCGGAGTTCTGACAGACTCCTGGGGGATCACTTGACATTAGAGCAATTCCTACTGCAATTTCACATTTATAGGGTGGTGCCTGAGTTCTGACAGCTCGCACCTTTTTCACATGAAGCAACTGCTAGAAGAAGCATGACTAGTGACTAATTGGAAAATTTCATTATTAAATTTCCTAACCCCAAGTGAGCCACTCAGCACCGTGTCTTTGCGGACACTTATCCCTGACCTTCTTGTGACATATAATTATTTTTAGCAGCTGACATTTTCATATTGGGTGATTCTGTTTAATATTAATATCCTCTTGTTTTCAATGTTTCTTTTCCTTGGTTCAATTTCCACGCCATTTCTTGGCTTTTAATAAACCTGTATTTGTTGCAACTGAGCTGATTTGCCATGGCTGAGAGATTGCTGGAGTTGTTTTCCCACTCCAAATAAGGTCTTTATTGCATTTTAGAAAACACTGACTTTTTAAAGGAAATTTCTCACTAAAATTGCATTGATGGCTTACTGCTGTGCTCCCAGCTTAGCCAGATCTGAAAAGGCACTACTGTGACTTTTTTCCTCTGCCTCATATTAACATCAGCTGAGAATCATTTTTTATCCTATTCACTTCCTGTAAAAGAAATGATTCAGTCTTACCATGAGATGATTTTAAGAAACTTAATTGGAAGCAAAATTGCTCTCTTATTGCAAGAGTTCCTCACATATCTAAATGCCAATTCTGACAGCTTCACAGTATCTCTTTGCTTTTAATAATGTAATTTTAGGGGAAAAAATGGAGGAGTCCTAGTGACACAAATGCCACCCACCAATGCTGTTCTCAGCAGTGGTACTTGACATTCTTTAGAACATGTGAAACCAATAAGCAGTAGGGCTATGCGATCTCTAGGTAAGAGGAGAAGATCTTCCCATTTATCTCTGCTTGTTTTGCTTTTAACATGCTAATAGTTATAGCAAAGATCTGGAATTTTTAGTAGTCATCTATGTGATATTTTGGTAGGAAAATCAAATGAGTCTTAGATGTATAATTATTTTTGCCTATAAACTTAGAGACACATAGTTCACATATCTGATTTGTTCAGGACATAACTCAGCAAATGAATGACTGAAGCCAGACCAAGAAACTTGGTTTCTTGCATAAAATTATCATGTTTCAAACAACCATTCTAGTGCAATGGAGACAGAGCTGTAGAAAAATTCCTAGGGTTTGCTAAAGCAGGGGACTTTGATAATAACAAAGAAAATATTCCTGGAAATGACCTCTGATAACCGTGTAGTTTGAAGTGCTACCTACTTGATATCTTGTAGCTTTCTGCTTAAGCACCCAAGAACACAGCTCAACAAATCAGATGAATAAAAGTGGACAGATGCTAGATAAGCACTTATTTTTATCTAGGTTTTATACCTTGAACAGCAGCTCGATTCCATAAGAGTAGTGCCATTGGATACATCTTCTCTTTTTGAAGAATTTTAGCCTTTTCTTAAAAAAAAGGAAACATCTATTAAGAAAGCTTAAAATTCCTCTGTAGTAAAGTTATATATGCATATACATGCTTGGGGAATTTCAGAGAATTTTAACTTATCTTACTAGATTCCAAAATGAACACTGAATTGCTTTGAGCTACTTCATACCCCATTTCTGCAAGCAGTGCATACTGAACAAGAGATGAATCTATATCACCATCCTTATAGGCAAAGTAAGCTGTCAGGAATTTCTCAGCCCAGTGGCCTAGTTCACAGACACCTTTATAAAGCTGTATATGGGAAGAGAAATCAAGTAGACTAGTTAGTCAATATACTTCATTCCAGACAGTTGATCAATGAAGTTAGCCTTCAGCTCTTGCTGACTGGTCAGGCAAGAATTTGAGGTTTAACATATTGCTTTTGCTAATTATTTAGAATGAAGAGTTAATATTTTTTATAGGCACAAAGATTACAAGTGTATTTTTTTGTCCTGAGTCGAACTTCTTCAAGCTTATTTTAAATTTGTATAAAGAACTGTCCTGGCTTGGAGGCTATTTGGCAGGACAAGAATGTATCATCGACTTGGGAGGTTTTTTTTAAGGGCCTTTTTGGACACTGCTGGTTTGCGTGGGCAAGTTACAAGGCCACAGCTGATGTGGAAAGGAGAGAAGGAAGGGAAGCCAGTGCCTGAGGGTATAGGTGACACAACTGCAAGGGAGGTGTGCAAAGATCCATGGGGACAAATGTCAACTTAGCTGAATAGCCTTTATGTAACCAAAAGAGGTTAGCCATACATAATTCATTAGGAAATTGGCAAAGGAACAAATCTAAAGATAGATTATTAGCTGGCAGCTTTTGAAATGAATTTCAGAGGGACAAGATTGCAACATGGAGATATTTATATTGGTACAGCAGACATATTTAATAAATCAATGCAGGGCATTAAGGTCCTAAAAGCATTCTTTTGTAAAGTACATTACTGGCTCAAGTTGAAAGAATCTACTCTCTCAATTGTCATTCAAATCATCTGAAGCCTTCAGTTCTTGCTTTCTGGAAGAAGTGGGTTTCATTTTCTAGGCTAAGTCAAGCCTTTAGGTTCCCAAGTAGTAAGTCCCACTAGAAGTGCGAAATTGCCGGGGTGATTTGATTGACAGCAGAACCAGAGCTTCTTAACTGAATTATGAAGTAAGCTCTGAAAGTGAAGAAAAACCAGATTTGAAAGAGGATGGATCATTTCACTATCTCCTTTCCCCAATGCAAGTTACATCACTGTTTCTTCTCTCTGGCAGACAACAGTGTTCACATTGTTAATGGGAAGAAAACAGGTACAATCTGTAAAACTAAAGGCCCAACAATTTAAGGATAGTATCACCTCCTCTGTGTGACAAATGAAAAGAACTTTAAAAACAGCCCAGTATTTACCGCCACAGCAGCTGTGCATGATCTTGATAACCCTGTGCCTGTTGCATACATCTCAGCCAGATAATAAATGGCGAGGGGCTGCCCACTCTGAGATGCCAAGTAAAAATATTTGAAGCCAAGTTTATAATCTTTCCAAACTCCAGAGCCAGCTGAAAATTACAATTGTTTTGAGATACCACCTTTTAATTTATTTTGCATTATACATTATAATCTATGGTATAACAGTCATAGTGATACTTGCTAACTTAAATAGGATGAGAACACCCAACTGAAAGTCAAATTGCTTTAAATCTACTGTTTGGGAGTGGATGGGTAGTAGAGTTAGATTATAAATATGAATATTAAAATGTATGATCTTGGCCCACTTGGAAAACCAAGAAAGAACTGTTTAGTCTCATGAGAACATCTCAATCTGATGTAATTCAAACTAATGAAAAGGAGACCAAGTGGTTGTCTCTGAGGAACAGAAGCTATACCATGATCTTCTCATTATCCTTATCATCCTTCCATGCCATGACACCAGTATAGCTCATGCAGACACAGTAATAGAGCCTGAAGTAGATAATTCCCAGCTCCAGGAAGACCAGGTCTGACCCAACTCATACTTGGAGAAAGGAGAGGCATTTGGGGTGGGGGTGGAGAATCAGCAAATTCCCAGAAACAGCAATTCTTTTCCTGGCTGTTACTCAATTTTTTGAGTTGGGCACATCTAGACATTTTATTTGAAAAAGGAGAGAGCTTTCCTTAGAGGGTCTTTAAATTCTCTTCCAGCTCTAACATTTCATGACCTTTATTAGCAATGCCACATAGTAATTAAGAACAAAAGCTTTCCAAGTAGATTTCTTAAATTGAATCCCATGTCCACTCCCCATGTGGTCTTGGACAAGATGTCTGAACTCAGTATGGCTCAGTTTGCTCATCTGTAGACTGTGGGGTGTCCCTGGACATCTTGAGAGGGTTAAATGAATTGAAACAAAATTTAATGTGCACTAGCCATTGCTATTACTCTTATTCTAGAAACTTGAAAATTCAGACAGATCTTAAGCTGAGGACTTGGAATGAACTAAGACAAGACCTCCATTCTGCATAAAAAGTAGGCTCTCCTGCTGGGCCACCATGGAAGATGCCAGCTGACCTCTTGGTCAGATTTGACTTCTTTGGTGATGTAGTCATCGCTGACCTGGTTCCTCCTGTGACATGAAGGGATTGGTAGAGGTATGTTCAGATCTCCTGGTCCTTGTCCTAATGACCTCCTTCCCTGGTCTCCCTAGGTATTATTACAAACCCTCATGGCTTTTGGAGACCCCTATACCAACCCTTCTACCTCTGCTTCCAGAGGCAACTTTTTACCTACTATGTGGAAGAAAACTTCATATTGTCTTTCCTCTCTTGTCTCTCTCTTCCTCCCCTTTTTTACATTATGCTGCCTGTGACTTCCTCCTTTCAATTCAAGGATGAGAAATTCTACTTCTCTGTCAAGGCTAAAGAGGCCTCAACCTATATGGATCCTAATACCAGTGATTTTTTTTTTTAGGACCTCATTCCATCAATTATAATTATGCCTGGGCCTCTCACCATCTAAAAACAAGTCTCTCTTGATTCTTGTCCCCTTCATGCTGTAATTTTATCTCTGCCTTAAAGGCACACTTCTTGCAAGACTTTTTTTCTTTTTTTTTTTTTTATACTGAGGATTAAAGTTAGGCCATTGCACTGGGTTACATTCCCATTTTTATTTTGAGACAGGGTCTTGCTAAGTTGCAAAGTTGACAAAGGCAGGCATGAACTTGTGATCCTTCTGTGTTAGCCTCCCAGAGTGCTGAGATCACAGGACTGTACTACCATGCCTGGCTCTTGCAAGGATATTTTCACTCAAGTACTTTTTCCACCGTCCATTGACACCCTAACTCATTGCCATCTGACTTCCATGCCAACCAGTCCAATAATATCAACATTATCTGCGTTACTGTCTCTCCTCTTCTTCTAATCCACCCTCTTCTTCTTTTTCTTCCAACCGTGCTTCTCACTGTATCTCCCAGGGCTACTACTCATTAATTTATTCTTTCTGGAAAGTGCCTCCCCTTTGGCTCCCTTTTAGATCAATGTTTTTCCTGTTCCTCTGGCCACGCCTTTTTGTTTCTTCTTGGTGCTCACTGTTCCTCTGCCTATCCTTTCAGAATGGCACAGAAGAGCCCCAGAATTCTGACCATTGCCCATTTCTCCTTTTTCCTCATTCTTCTTTGTTTTTGTAACTAAGCTACTCTTTACTCATACCTGTAGGTTGATATCTCCAAAATCTTTCTCTCCAATTTTGACATTTCTTCTGAGTTGCATACTTGTTTCTGGGTATGTGTATTGGCTATGACAAGAACTTCAAACTTAACCACATCAAAGGTGAACTTTCTGAATCTATACTTACTTCCTTGCCACCTCCCCCAACTGATGTTCTTTCCTTTAGTCTTCCTTAAGCCTGATCAAATTGCTGCCTGAAAATTCTTTTTAAACCACTCACACTACCTTTGATTTTTGTTATAAAAGAGACAGACTTACTAATGCAAAGGTTATTCTAAATAAAGCAGCATATGTGTAGTACCTACAGTAGTACATGAAGCCGAGCTGGAACTGTGCATTGGGCCATCCTTTCTCTGCAGCTTTCTGAAAGTACTTAAGTGCTTCAGCATAATTCTGCAAGATAATTACACTCTTACTCATAGCTATATGTATAACTTCATGGTAACAATTGCCTTCTACCTTTTTTTTTAGAGTATAACCAGTGCTCTATGTGATCTAAGGCTAATTAAAATAGTATCAGAAATATAATCATTTTATTTTATTATTATGTTAGATACTGTTAGGAAAGAATTATCTTATATCATTGTAAATTATATATTTTTATACATTGACAGTAGGTTTTGTTAGATATGGGGGGAAGGTCACTTGAAACACAGATAAAAAAGATAAATTTCTCTATCAATAAAATCCTCAGGGGGCAGATATTTCCAAGGCTATTTAGAATCTTGATTCTAAGATATAATTAGAGTTGCTATTCTTGTCACAAGGTTGTTCTTCTATGTCTCTTTGGCAAACAAAGATTTTACTGAATTATTTTATTCTACATTATCAGTTATAATAGTTTAGCCAACCAGGTGTTACAGACTAATTCCTACAAATTAATGACTGGTTATGAATTTTACCCTACAAATTGCCCAAAGCATGTTGAAAAGGTAATAAAATTATTTGACTTACCACTGGAACTCCTTTTCCATAAAAGTAAAGGAGTCCAAGTCCATGAAGACCAATTGCATTGCCCTAGAATTTAAAAATCCCAGTCAAGTCCCAGAAGAATTCATGATAAAGAAAATTACTTCAAAATATTTGAAATGCCCCCATTAAGACAGTAATCAAGGCAGGTTAATAAGGTGGTTGGCAGATTATTTTGATCCTCTTGTTTATCATTTCACACTTTCATATTCCCCTCTGACAAGAAAAGGAAAAGGGAAATAAAAGCCAAATCTTTACTTGATTCTTTCAGTCAGGACTTATTTAATATTTTCTTTGTGTATGATTCCTCAATAGGCACTGAGTTGAGGTAAGAGAGGCGAATGGTGAATGAACCTGGAGAGTTTGTAGACAAGAGGGGTCTGAGCCATATAAAAAGGGAGGGCCAGATTTCTTAAAGCCATGTCAAAGGTGCTAAATCTTAAAATGAACCTGTGAATCCATAAAAGTGGGACACACAACTGCTTGGTTGAGGCTAGGAACAGAACAGGATTGAGTTTCAGGGTGGTGACATTTGAGCTTCATCTTAGAGAATGTACAGGAGTTTTCCAGAAAGGCAAAGTCAATCTAGACAGTTGTTTGCCCACTTTGGTCAAAAGAGGTTGACATAAATAACAATAACATTTTAGAGACTCTGTGGATTTCAGTCCAGCCAGTACAGAAAGGCAAGTAGTGTGTAGTGTGATTCTTTGTCTTTGGCCAGGATTTAGCTCAGTGGTGCCACAGCCTACCACGCAAGTGCAAGGTCCAGAGTTCCATTCCAGGTACCAAAAAAAAAAAAAAAAAAAAGAAGAAAAGAAAAGAAATTCAACTTTTTATAGCATCACTGATGTTTTCTTTTCCACTTGATGCTAAACTACCACCTATTTTTCTGACTAATATTCTGAATACTAAAAGAGTGTATTTAGCAAATTTAGTCCTAGAAGATAATGCTCAACTAACACAAGTTCACATGTGTTATTTCTCAAATCAATCCCAAGTGAGGACTGAACCCCATAAATAGCTTCCCCAACTAAAAAACATCTTTTCTTTCTATCTCCTCTCACGCATTTCACTCTCTGGTGACCATGTTAGAGGTCAAGGATGGCCACTTGGTTTTCCTTCAACAGATGTGTAGATTTGTTTTACAGATATTTCCTCAGGAAATTAACTTCTGATAAAAACTCTCCAATTTCTTATCATCTAAACTTAGCCATTGTAGATGCAACCAGAATATATCTTAGTGACACAAAGTGGTACATAAATAGAAAAGGCATATTTTAAACACTCAAGATTCCAAACTTTGAGCCTATGCATATCAAAGGACCCACTATTGTAAGAATTCTTCCCTCACGCTGCGGGCCTCCCCGCAACAGGCACGTCCCTGTCTCGCGCCTCTGTTTCCTCGCTCACTCTTTACTGCCCTCCCCGTAGCGCCGGGCCGAGCCGGCTTCTCCTCAGTCTCTCATGAATCTTGAGCTGCCCCTGTTGTATTTCCCGAACTCCATTGCGGCAGCAGAGGCCCGCCATATTGTGAGGCCCCACCGGATGCCGTGGCTGCTCATCCCAGAGTCTCGCGAGCCTAGGCTAGGGCAGGAGCCCCAATGTCTCAGGCTGTGCAGACAAATGGAACTCAGCCATTAAGCAAAACATGTGAACTGAGCTTATATGAATTACAATGAAAACCTTAGAAGGCAATAACAGATGGCTTGGAAATTGTGGTTTCACCTAGAAGTCTTAACAGTGAATTAATGTGCCCAATTTGTTTGGATATGTTGAAAAACATTGTGACTACAAAGGAGTGCTTGCACCGTTTTTGTGCAGATTGTATTATCACAGCCCTAAGAAGTGGTAACAAAAAAATGTCCTACCTGTCGGAAAAAAGCTAGTTTCCAAAAGATCACTAAGGCCAGATCCAAACTTTGATGCACTCATCGGCAAAATTTATCCAAGTCGTGATGAGTATGAAGCTCATCAAGAGAGAGTATTAGCCAGGATCAACAAGCATAATAATTACCAGGCATTCAGTCATAGCTCTGAAGAAGGTCTGAAGATCCAGGCCATGAACAGATTACAGCAGGGCAAGAAACAACAGCTTGAAAATGGTAGTGGAGCAGAAGATAATGGTGGCAGTTCACACTGTAGTAATGCATCCACACATAGCAATTAGGAAGCAGGCCCTAGTAACAAAAGGACCAAAACATGTGATGATTCTGGGCTTGAACTTGACAATAACAATGCAACAGTAGCAATTGATCCAGTAATGGATGGTGCTAGTGAAATTGAGTTAGTATTCGGGCCTCATCCCACACTTATGGAAAAAGATGTCAGTGCACAGACAAGATAAACAAAGACTTGAGGTAATGCCACTGTTGATCACTTATTAAAGTATCTGGCTGTGCAGTTAGCTTTAGAAGAACTTCCAAGCAAAGGAGAATCAAACCAGATGAACCTTGATACAGCCAGTGAGAAGCAGTGTACCATTTATATAGCAACAACCAGTGGCCAGTTCACTGTATTAAATGGCTCTTTTTCGTTGGAATTGGTCAGTGAGAAATACTGGAAAGTGAACAAACCCATGGAACTTTATTATGCCTCTACCAAGGAGCACAAATGAGCTTTTAAAAACCAATTCTGGACTGAACTTTTTTATAGGCTAATTCTTTAATATTAAAGATGTACCATCATTACACTTTTATGGACAGATCTTGGATACGTTGTTCAGTTTCATTTCTGAGCCAGACTCATTTACACTATTAGAATTACTTCCCCTTAATTTAAGATTTACTTTTTGCAAGGGACTGCAGTTATTCAATACTTTTTCTTTCCTTTAAAAAATGTATCTAAGTTGTACACTTTCAAAAGTATAGTTCCATTTGAAGCACTCTTTGACCCAGGAATTTTTCATAGTTACGTATTCTCAAGTAAAAATTCAATTGGCTATCATTTTTTCCTCTCCCCTCAAAAGTTTTCTAGGCCTATGGATTGTTAAATATAGTAGTACGTATTCCAACTCCCACTCCCCACCCCCAACCCCTGGAGTCTTGTATATAAACTGTAGTATCTTCATGAAGACCAAGGTTCAAATTTACTGTGCTTAAAAACAATTCTTGGGGCCGAGGATTTAGCTCAGTGGTTTCACCACCTGCTGTGCATGCACAAGGACCCAATTTTGATCCCTGGTACCAAAAAAACAAAACAAAACAATTCTCATAGGATTATAATTTTCATGGTATTTTCTTCCATAATATCGCATTTAAAAAGAAGTTCTTTATGAAGTTGGTGTCCATTGTCATGCAATATTATTTTTTCCATTTTTTTCCCTGTAAGTTTAGAATTTCTGGTATGGGAAAGAGAATCAAACAAAATTTTAAGTTCTATGAGAACATGGTTCATTAACAGATTTCACTGAAGAAAGAAGAATTGGTAGTAATATGTAGCCCTTAATTATATATTTGAGTTCTTTTTTGTATTCTGTCTTTGTTTCCTCTATTACATGTGTTTAATGTTCTTTTCCTATTAAAATATCAGAGATACGGAGATATTTTGCACTTTAGCCTTGATGAAAAGTACAAGATATGTTCAAAGCTTTCTAATTCATTTCTTATTGGTAGTAGTCACAGAAGTTTCAAGAATTAACATGGCACATACAACTAACAATGGGGAAACAATTTGCTTGTTTGAAAAGTGTGCTTAGCATTTGAAGTTGCTGTATCAGTTTATAAATCTGATGCTCTGTTAATAACACTCTATAGGAGGAAGTTAATGGAGTTTGAGCTCTGCTTTGACACATAGTGAAAAATAATTTTATAGAAAAATGTCAACCAATAGGGTAAAGTCATTCTACTTTTAGTTTTCTATTGAGGGACAGTATTGACTGTTTGGAAGCCAGAAGAGTTTAGGCTGACAAGTCAGAAATAAGATTGACTTGTATGTTATTTTTCATCCCTGTCTTGATTCTAAGTATGTCTTCAAGTTTATATTACCACAGTATTTACACAAACATGTTTGCATTGAGAAATTAACCCCAAAGTGTTTTGATAAGGAGTTAGACCTGCCATACCATTGTAACTAAAGCCTGTCTATTCATTGTAAATATTTATCTGTCAATTTTGACAGATTGGGGCCAGCTTGATGTTTTAAATCTTAAGCCAAGTATGAAAACTTAAAGGGTTATTCAATATTTTACCTTTTTATTGAAAATATTTGAAATTTGTTTTTACAGGGTTTTTGGTTTTTTTGGTAATTTGTGCCATGAAATTTGAAAACTACCAAAATTTAAAGAATACTTTTATATTCAATTTCTTTTCTGGTGTAATGTTAAACTGTATAGATTATTAATGAATGTCCATTAAATATAACCCTGGTTTTGTGGTAAAACTGTTTGATTTTATTGATGACATTAGATTAGTGGTTGCATTAAATAACTAAATTCCCATTGTGTTTATTAATTGAAATTTTGTCTTTAAGCAGAAAGTTATTTGTGAATATAAGCTTTGTGTTTAGAGAATGTACGTGTTTTTATCTGCCAGTATAGGAGGATATAAACTGTTTGAATCATTAATGAGGTCATTGGATGTGTGTAATCCTTTGCAAAATATAATTACAGGTATTTGATTAAAAACAGAATTCTTAATTGCTCTATTCTTCCTTCCTTCTTCCTTCTTTTTTTTGGTACCAGGGATTGAACTTGGGGCCTTGTGCTTTCGAGGCAGGGAACAGAACTACTTAGCTAAATCACTGGACCCCCTTCCTTCTTCTATGAGTCTTGGACTCTGTTCTGAGAGTAGAAAGACCTAGTGTGATTGATTTGGCAAAGTCTATAGTAAGCCTGTCTTCTACCTAGCCTCATTAGATACTGAGAAAAATTGAAGGGAAGAAAAATGAAAATGAGAGAAGGGATGGAAGAGGGGAAATAATAAGGAAATTAGAATAGCTGGGACAAACTATTTTCCTTCTCTAAGAAAGTTCCTGGAAAACCAGAAGCTCATTGGGGTAGTCATCGACAGTTGAAGGCCCAGAATACCTGTTCACTTGCAGGTATCTCCAGGAGCCACGCCAGTAATGTTGGCCGGGTGATAGAGAGAGAGGTAGAGACCAAGACAAACTAGAGTGTACCTGCCCTGTATTAAGACAGCAGAGCTACCGGCTCTAGCCACTTGTTGCCACATGGATGACAGCCCTATGTGATCAGCTCTTGCCATTTTCCAAGAAAAGCTGAATGTACAATTTTCCCCATGTCAGATGAGTAATGTGTCAACATCCTAACAAGGTTGGATGGAGCTACATTTTACACTATGGCATGAACCACCCAATCATCACACCAGTGAACCATGAAAAGATCTGAATCTTCACATTTTGATGTAAAGTTTACTGATTCTTAAAAGATTTTCTTGGCCAAATACTACGTATGTGTAGCCAAGCCCCCAGTATGTACTTTCCACAATAGGGATTAATGCTTTTGCTTGGGCTGACAAGAATCTTGGAGCAGTACTCATTTGCCAAATATTTAAATGAATCCAGCTATTGACTCAGACCTTGTCCTCCTTGAGGTGAGGAGACTTGGCCACCAGACAGTAGAAAGTTGCAGGATAGAGAGTGAATACAGGGCAAATTCAGAAGGAAGAGACTATGTTACCCAAGGTGGGTAGGGCAGCTTTGGGGAAAGAGGAAAGAGGATTGAGTAAACCCTGGGGGCTGAGTAGGGCTTTTATTATGGGGCTCTTGATGGTATAACAAATATGTGGAGATGGGGTTGGCCTAATCTGTTCAGAGCTGTGAGACAGAGAACCAGAGGAGTATGGTCCAAAAGGGGCTCAATAGCACATGAATGTTTTTGTTTTTACATAAATCTTTTTTTTTTACTTACATGTTTGTAAGTAAATAAGACAAAAGAGATTGTAAAATTGGTAATTTTGTGTACTGATATTGGTATTAACTTCAGACAAAATTAAAAAGCAGGAGTCTGTATCTGTGTCCACCTCATACCATTCAGAATAATTACCTTAAGTACTATTTTAGATTTTCTTTGTAAAAAAAGGAAACTCAGGTTTAGAACATGTGTAACCCAGATCACTGCTAGTTACTAAGCTATGAAGAGTTAGGGGGAGTAATTAATTTACACATCCAACTTCCTGACATTACTCCTTTGGGCTGACAAATCAACATTATTTGCCAGATTATAAGAGATTTCCTCAGATACTTCCTTTTTGGTCTGTTCTTCTGGGTCCTCCTAATCTAATGGTACTCCAGATAATTGTTTTGCTGAGCAATAGTTTTGCATAAATTACAAGGGAGATAGGGGCCCAGTACTAGCCTTCCCAGCAATTTACATCACAAGAGCAGCTCTGAGGTGTTAGTCATTTATAAACAGGCTCCTAAGCAGCACGTAGGCCTTTAAAAACTGAGAATAGTTGAAAATATTCCTCAATTTGAAAACATTTTTACTGCAAGTGCTGAACTATGAAATTATAAGAGAATAAAATACTTCCTCCTTTTAGGGATAGAAAATATATGAAGGCCAGTTGCCAAAAGTTAGCTGACAGGATGTTGGGATGAAGACACTGCTTATTCATTAAAAGGATTCAGATTAGTTTATTAAGTTTTATCTGATACCAGCCTCACTGAGCCGAGTAGCAAAGGAAAAGATTACAACAGCAGGAGGCATAACATAATCTTCCCACAGTATGTAAGGGGCCATGGCTCCAGGACTCCCCAGATAACAAAATTCACAGATGCTTAAGTCCTTTATATAACATTTATACATAATCTACGCACATCTTCCTGTATTCCTGAAATCATCTCTCAATATAATGGCTATGTCAGTAGTCGTTATATGCAGTTACTTAAGGAATAATGACATGAAAACAGTCTGCATATATTCAGTACAGATGTAATGTTTTATTTTATTTTGATTCATAGTTAGTTGAATCCATGGAAGCAGAATCTGGAGTATGGAGGGCTGACTGCTATACCATTTCTATATGCCTTCATAGTTCCAATGCTTTCTGCCTTGGATCTACTTTGATGTTCACTCTACCTCACTGGCTTCAGACTGCAAAAGATAATAATGGATACACAACACATACATGTGTTGGACACTGCTTTAAATATTTTTAAATGTGGTGTTTTGTTTTTTTTTTGGTACCGGGGATCGAACGCGGGTCCTTGCGCTTGCGCAGCAGGCGGCGAAATCACTGAGCTAAATCCCCGGCCCAAATATTTTAAAATGTGAAGCACATATATACTAATCCCTTAAATCCAAACAACAACATCAGCCAGGTCTTATATTCTCATTTTGCGCATAGAGAAAGTGAGGCACAGAAAGGCTAAGTAACCATGTTCACACAGTCATGCTGTTGGTAGGGGGAGCATTTAAACCAGGGATTATGTCTCCAGAAACTTGTTTTTAATTACCTTGCCCTAGCTAACTGCCTTACAACCACCTGCCTGGGCCAAAAGGAGCTCAGATATGACTAGAGAAAATTGGACATCTCCTGGTTGTCTTTGTCCTGAGCTGATTGCAGTTAGTGATTGGTTTTCCCTTCTTCTGCCCTCATCTTTTTTATTTCTCATTCCTAAACTAGATGACTTCAACTATTGCACAGGAGAGGGAGAAACTGAGCTGTTGTCTGGCCACCTTCTGGCACCTGCTGGGGCATCAGAAGTCACTTCCTTTTTTTCACTTATCAGGAACACATTCGCATCTTCTTCCATTTTAACTCTGTAGTTTATTGTCAAAGGTATTATATTTCTCCAGAACCTAAAACTCCTTCTGGCCCCATTATCTGGGCTTGAGACTTTGAAGTCAATTCTTGGGCACCAATCTGCATATAATAAAAGCTGATTATTTTTATGTGTTCATATCAGTGGGTTGAGGACATACCTTATTGGCTGCCATGGAAAAGTATTTGAAGGCAGTAGCATTATTTTGTGGTGCAGCAGCATTCCCCTCTAAATACATCTAGAAAAAACAGTGAAAAGAAAATGTAAAAATAAAAGAATTTGGGGATGATGCAAATATTTTAAAACTAAATAGAAGTAATGGTTGCACAGCATTGTGAATGTAGTAAATGCTACTGAACTGTACATTTTAAAATAGTTAATTTTAAGTTATTTGACTTTTACCTTAAAAATCCCCCCCAAAAAACTAAAAATAAAATCTACATATATTCTGAACTGACTTTGCAGAAGAGCAAAGAAATGGACGCTATTTGGGTTTTCTCCTGTTTCTCGAATCTAAATTACTATATGTGGCACTTCCAGAAGGGCACTAATCTCCATGGTTACTGAAACAAATTGATTGCAGGGAGCCAAAGGAGAGAGGAGAGAGTGGGGAGGGAGTAGTCTTCGAAGGAGAAAGAACATCTTTCTTTAGAGGAATCCTCTACAAGGGTGCTCAGCAATCATAGGGGACCTCCTATCAGATGTGGGGTAAGCGTGGGCCTTGGTCAGTGTAGAGCTAGTTCTCATTCCAAGGGAGGAGGAAAGAGGTGCCTGATTGGTTTGAGGACTGTACCAGTCTTCAAGGCACTTGGATCTTCTGTTACCTGCTGGGATTGTGGGGAGCTCAGGGGCTCATAGACACTCAACAGAGGAGCGTGGCAGTACATTTTTAAGGCTGTTTTTGATGCCTCACATTAAAGCATGTTGTACAGGGCTCATTCCCAACCTGTCACCTCAAGAATACCAGCCTCAGTGGCAGCCAAATGCCCTTTCACCTGCTTCCATGAAAGAGACTTCCAATCTTGTCACCCTACACTGAATTCAGTTTGCTGGTATAATTCATTTCCCTCCCTCCCTCCCTCCCTTCCTTCCTTCCTTCTTTCCTTCCTTCTTCCTTTCTCCCTCCCCTCCCTCCTCTTCTCTCCTTTCCTCCCTCCCTCTCCTTTGCTTTCTGCTTTTCCCTTTCTCCTCTCTTTTCTTTTTTCTCTCTTCTCTTTCTTTCCCTTCCTTCCTTCCTTCCCTGGGCTTTCTATCCACCTTAGATTTTTAAGAAATAAAAAATATTGATCAATTTGAAGCGTGTACCTTTCCTATAAATGCCATGGCATTTGCACTCCCCGCTTTTGCTGCCTTTAAAAAAGTAGTATAATGCTTTCTGGAGAGAAAAAGAACAGTGTTAATGCCAGTCACAAATAAATTCCACAAAATGGCTTTTTGAACCAAACTTGTTTATTCATTCAATATGCATTCAAAAATATCTACAAAATGCACACTTTGTTCAAGGCACTATTCTAAGTGCTATTTCAACCATAAACCTAAAGACTGGGAAAAAAAAATATACATATATATATTGGTACCAGAGAAGTGAGGTTGTTGCTTTGACTACACCTGACTATGTGGTTCAGTGGTCTTTGAACTGGTTTTTGGGAGGAGTTTGGAAAGGTTTGGAGATGTGGGCTAGAGAAGCCCTAAAATGTTGTAAGAGCTTGATGGGTGATTCAAGTAAGAGATCAGAAGATCAGAATTCCAATAGGAATGTAGGTAGTAATAGACAGGCTCATGAGATTTCATATTGGGAAATGAACAAGAGGCCATACATGTTACATTTTGCAAAGGACTTGTCAATATTTAGAGTTTTAGTCCATGTCCTAAGACTTTGTAGAATCTTGAATTTAAAAGCTATGAACAAATTGATCTGGTATAGAAAGTTTCAAACCATGAAAAAAAACATGGAAGTTCAACTTTTTGGGTATGGCATGGATACTGCTGGCTGCTTTTAGCCAGATTTATAGTGAAAAAAGAGCAAAAAGCAGAACAAAATTTGAAAAACATATTTTTACCCCTAAAGAACCATGTGTGAGGCCAAAGGAATTTTGGTTGATGAAGAGATTAGTGCCATTAAAAAAATACCAAGTACAGGGCCCAGGGATTTAGCTCAGTGGTGCTGCTGCCTACCTCACAAGCCTAAAGTCCTGAGTTCGATTTGAGACAAAAAAAATATCAAGTACTTTGAACCAGGACAAGAAGAAAGATGTCTTGAGGGTATCTCAGGAATTAGCAAGATACCACTACCACCACCACCATCATAGGCTCAAGGGTGCAAAATTATAAGCCTTTATTGGAGAACAGAGTCCCTGAGCCCCTAGCTTCAAAAGAACCACCTAGGGACTTGGTTGTCCAGGATTCATTTCATCATGCTCAGCCATTAAAGCATTCCAAGACCACTGGAGTCATGGTTCAAGTGGGCCTGGCTGCTGCTTGAGTGGGCAGCAGACAATGGTGTCATTCACATGATTCAGGTTATTCAGCCATGCAGAATGCAAGAGTTGTAGGGTCATGGAGGCTTCTATCCAGATTTCAGACAAAGTTCTTAGAGGCCAGGCAATGTGCTCCTGAGAGGATGATGCATAAAGCTGTGGGAATGAAGCTGAATGTGTAGTGGACAGCTGATGAAGATGCCAGGAATGTGCACCTACTAAGGAAAGCTGCAGGCTGCAAGTGGAACCAGCCAAAGAAGAGATTATGTAGGCTGCAACCATCAATGCCATAAGTCTGGGACTTCCCAAGTTACACATCTCAGCACCATCTGCACTAATGCCAAATGTGGAGATACAGTACTTAAAACCTGTTGAGCTTTAATCTTATTTTGGTCCAATTCTTTTCTATCCCTTAATTTCTCCTTTTTGGAAAAGGAATGTTTACCCTGTGCCTTTGTGTCTTGGGATTAAGTAACTTGCTTTTTGAATTTTACAGAAATTCACAGCTAAGAGTTTGCCTCAAGTCTTAGAGGAGTCCGTAACTTACGTTTTAGAGAAATGCTGGACTCTTTGAGACATTTGGAAGGCATGAGTGCATTTTTCATTTTATGAAAAAGAATTGTGTCATTTTAAGTGGAATTTCAAACTTACTTATTTGGATATTAAGTAGTTTAAAGAGATATATATGGTTGTCAAGTTGACAAGGGGTGGACTGTGATTAGGCTTAATTGTCAACTTGATTGGCTTAGGAACCATGTAAGGATTAGTAAAACGCATTTGTGAACCTGTCTGGGTGGATCAAGGCATAATCTTGGGACCTATATCCGGTCCCCTTCTTTTTTGGCACTATTCTCCTCACCAACAAGAGATGAGTAGCATTTCTCTGCGAGGCCCCTCTACCATGTTGTTCCTGCCTTGGAGCTAGCTTGCTATGGATTGAATCCCCTGAAACCATGAGCAAAAGAAACCACTTCCTCCTTCAAGTTGTGGGTACCAGGTATATGGAACAACAGAAAAACTAACCAATACAGTATTATAGGTGACTCATAGGTGAATAAAAATGTCATCCCTACATTTTCTCCATAGCAGTGGTGCTGAGAAGAAATACATATTAAAAGTAATAAGGGTGTAGGTGATAGATGGGATGAAAGGATTGCCAAAAAGCATTAGAAGAGCATAACATAACAAAACAATAGAAGTTATACTCAGTTTTCTGATAAGTGCTTACAAGCCTTTTCTTTCCTAATCTTCACACTATCATTATAAAGAATGTTTTATTAATATATGATCTTATTTAATGACACTCAGAGTCATGCAGCTAGTCCTTGAGTCCCATAAACTGCCTGAATACAATTCTCATGTACTTGGCATTCTGCCTCCACATTATAAAGAGGAAGGTTAAAATGACAGAGCCCTCACAGAAGATGGAGATGACCCACATATAGGTCATTGCAGGTTAGGGAATACCACAAGCAAGGGAACAGAGATGGGAATGTCTAAGGTATGTGCAGCAAATAGTTATCACTTAAGTATGGCCAAAATAGAATATTCAAAAGCTAAGACTTGTAAAAGTAAGAGGGGAAATTATCCTTGAATATCAGCTAAGAACTTTTATGTTGTTTGGCAGAAAATAGAAGCTATTGGATATTTATGAGCATTAGGGAATCTTGACAACAAAATGTCTGGAATAATCTAAGTATATGACTTGCAAAATTAGAGACAGTTACCATCAAAACTAAAGCATTTATTATGAATACCTATGAGTCAGACCTAAGTATGTCCCCACGTAAGTGTGTAATTTATGCAAATCACATTATCCCCAGAATCATTCATATTCTCCTCTGTGCACTCAGGGCACCCAGTCTGTCTGTCCCTATCCACATCCACTAATTTAATTGCTTATTTTTTGTGCCCCAGTGTTGTATCCTCTGTATTTAGCATAGTGTCTACCATGTTAAGCACTCGGAGACCATTTCAAAAATTAGTGAATGAATAAATGTTTATGAATTTCTGAAACAAGGGAGCTAGACTTTGATCTTCATGGAACTTTCTAGCACAAATATGATTCTATGAAATCATTTTCAAAGTCTAGTATAATAATTTGGTTCTTGATTATCTTGCAACAGAGAGTTCTGAAAAAAGTTTCACTCTGGGGAAAAAGATTTGAACTATTAAAACAAAATAATCTATTTTCCAGAAGCAAATAAAACTCCTGAAATTTTCCCTGCTCTTGAATATCATGATCCAATAAGGACCAAAAAAAATCAAGTCTCTCTCTCACATTGTTCTACTCTCCCAGCTTACATGGCAGTCCAATTCTGTTTGTTTTTTAAAAATTTACCTGCCCCTAATGCTATTATTTCAATTGTATAAAAATATTTTAAACATCATGTGAAAGTACTATGCAAGTTACTTTGATGGATATATATATATATATATATATATATATATATATGCCAATCTAAGTTTTTTCTTTTTTGAGACAGGGTCTCACTATACAGTTCAGGCTGGCCTTGAACTCACTATGTAGCCCAGGCTGGC